GTGCTCCTTGACATAGATTGCCACCCCCCCTCCTTTCCTAAAGTTTAATTGCTACTTACCCTGTTTTTTTCCTATTTTAAAGCAATGAAATATAGGACGCCTAGAAAGAAATCTTAATAGTTTTTAATGTACAGCATTTTCCCCTATGTCTTGCATCTCATTGAAGGAGTAATCCAATAGAAAAATCTGCAGTATTGTGTTATCCAACCTATGAAAGTAGCTTCTGTTGACTAGAGTAGACCAGTAATTCTCAATCAGGGTACCACAAGATACTTTTAAGGGTGCCACACAATACTAGCAATGGTAAGTGTACAAACACCCACATATGATTCGTAAGATAAACCCATAGGGCGCATCCCCACAAGTGGGAATGCACATTTCCCCAGGGACAAGAAGCAGTGGCACACCTTGTGCTGCTGCTACTTGTCCTCAGGGAACACCTGCACCATGTATGCTCCGGCACACAGCACGTTATCCCAGGTGGGGTAGGGGAGGCTGGGGCCAGCAGCTGTGCAGGCCCCAGCAGCCTTATCTGCTGCAGTCACAGTGCTCCTGCAGAAGGGAGCCACCTAGCAGCCGGAGTGTGGCTCCACCTGGCCAGGCTCTGGTTTTGGGTGGCACGTATATCACCCTGCTTTTTTTTGGCATGGGTTATTTGACCCCAGGATCTCCCAGGGGCAAGAAAACCACCTATGCTGCAAGGTAGCAATGCAGGGAATGCCTGCATGTGCTGGTCTGTGGCACCACATACTGCACATTTGCGCTCATGAGGACACAGCTATAGACTTCAAATAGGAATCCACGGTGTCAGAAACTGTTGTGGTCTTTCCGAGTTCTCTACAACAGGTCCTTCTTTGCAGCACTGCAGCATAGCCACTCATTGCCCAGTCTGTTTTATACATACAGGTATTCCATCCCAAGTGCAGGACTTTTGTGTCCTTTTTGAATCTCATCTGATTGACTGCGGACCATTTCTCCAGTTTATGGTCTCCATTCTGCAGTCTTTGGAGTTTCTATTTTTAAAAATTACTTTGAAGCATACTATGGCACTTCTTTCTTGTATTCCCAGTCAGTGGAATGGAAGCAAGAAGGGCTCCTTGCTCCTTATTGCTGGTGATGGGCAAAGGCCTATTACTGCTGTGAAAGTGCTTCCTTACCCAGTCCTTTGAATCATTTTCCCTGAAAACAACACTGATTCAGTCAAAAATAAACCCCTGCCTCTGTTTTAAGTGTCAAGAAATGCTGTTATTATGCTTAATTACTCTTATATTGTTAACTTCTTGTGCCCGAACTGGATGTAGACCCTCGCTCTCAGATGCGTAATCTAAAATTTATACAAAAATAGGTAAAGTAATATGTCAGATCATCTCCTCTCCCTTGGCCCCTGACTGATGGTCATATCACAGATTTCATACTGGCAGATGTGCATGAGGTAAAGATGGGGAGTTAGTACAAGAAATTCCTGACTGCTGTTATTTTAACCCAGATTTTCTGTCTACTATAAACAAGTCAGTGGAGCAGTAATTTCTGCAAAAGCTGCTAAAACATTTATAGCAAATTTGAAATTTAAAGCTTTAAGAGGTGTAACAGTTTCACCAACAGTGCCCTGCATAGGCATTATGTAGAATGTATCTGAATTTAAAACAGTGGACTGAGCAGATGGTGGATTTTTTTACTAGTTAGTTTTATGAAAATAACTTTATGGGCAGTTGACTGGTTTTGCAGTCCTATGTGGACTATACACTTGTTACTACTTGAAAGAATATGAGGGAAAAAGATTGTATCAGTTAATTCTGCATATGCAATATGTATGAAAAGAGTCTGTTTCACAGTATGATATTTTACTCTTTATTAGAGATAATTATCTAGGGCCCACTTTCCCATTGGCTTTAACGAATGTGAATACTTAGACCAGTGAAATGAGAGTAAAAAACGGGCAAAATACATTACCAGATCATAGTTTCATAGTTGGTAGGGTCGGCAGGGACCTGAGCAGATCATCAAGTC